AGCAGGGGTGGCGGGGGGGGTCCAGATCACACACTTGCTAAGGCATATGGACACTGCTGCGAGTCACTGGAAGGTTTTAAGTAACAAGGTGAGCTAGGAAGGATTCTAAAATGGCCCTTAGTATAGACACACCTTCTCCCGGTTATTCAGTCAAAAACGAATCTAGGTACCGCTGTGAGAGAATTTTGCAGGTGTAATTAAGGCCCCAAACAGCTGATCTTAAGATAAGGAGATTATTCTGGGTAGACCTGACCTAATTAGGTGAGCCCTTAAAAGGGGCCGGGCTCCTCCTAGAAGAGATTTAAAGCAGGCAAGGGATTTGATGAGTGGGAGGTTCTCCTTGCTGACTTCCAGGCTGGAGGGGGTTGTGCAGAAGGTATGTCAGAGGCCTCCAGGAGCCGAGTTACCACAGGCCAACAGCCAGCAAGGAAACGGGATGTCAGCCCTACAACCACAAGGAACTGACCTGCCAAGAGGCAGAAGGAGTTGGAGGCAGATTCTTCCTGAGAGCCTCAGATGCGGACGCGGCCCTGAGCGGAGTAGCCAGGCACGCTGTGCCCAGACTTCTGCCCCACGGACACTGGACGCCGTGAGCTAACGACTGGGTGTTGTTTCCAGCCCCTCAGCTTGTGGGGGTCTGTTACACAGAACACTAGCACAGAGTAACCAGCAGATCTGCACCTTACAAACACGTGGTGAGGCTGCAGGCCCGCGCCCTTCACTGAGGCCTGCCACGGCCCGCTCGCCCGTTCTCAGCCAGCTCCAGCGGGAAGGACTGGCCGCCTGGCTCTGAGACTTCTTCTTTTCTTGGCTCTTGGGTCATTCCTGCTGGTCGCCGCGTCAGGGCCTGCCGCCTGGAGCTCTTCGCCTCCGCAGTCACTTGCACACTGGTGCCGACCCATGGGCCGGGGGGATGGGGGCTTCCCACACGTCCCTCTCAAGTCCAAGACACCGCCTCCTGCCTGCCCCGTCCTGCGTGGGCCAGCTGCACGCCCAACAGGGGCACGTCCAGGTCCCCCAGATCTGGTGTCTCATGACCCCACCAGTCAGGTGAGGCCCGCCTGCCCCAGAGTGCTCCTCGCAGGGATGTGATGCGCAGCCCCTCTCCAAGCAGCTGTGGCCTGTTACTCCCCGGAGAGAGAAGGAGGTCTGTGCACTCCTCTGCTTCAAGAGTCGGCACATCTGGTCCCTGGACAGAGTGGCCACTCGTGTGTGGATTGCCTTTAGGCAGCATTTTGCAGAATGATTGGCACACATGCATGCACAGGTGGTGGGTCCCGGTTCCCTGAAGGGCTCAGCAGAGCCCCCGGTGGGCCTGGGACTGCATGCCCCCAGCCTCCTCCCATCTGTGTGTGTGCGGAAGCTTGCCCCCTGACCCCCAGCACTTGATGTGCCCGCAGCATTTGGGAGACAGATGCACGGTCATGTCCCGGCGGTACGGGCGCTCCCGTTTGCCCAGACCACGCACACTACAGTGGACAGAGGCTTCAGCTGAGCCCACACAAGCAGGCTCAGCTCACCTCTGTGAGCACCGCTGCCCTCACATGGGGGCCCAGCAGAGAAGGTGAAGGCACGCAATTTCCCCTCTGCCTCCCTGCGTGCCCTTGGGAAGCTCCTCGGCCTCGCTGTGCCGGTCCCCAGCCCACCCCCATCCTGTGGAGAGCAACACCTGCCCCTCGCTGCCTCCCAAGAGTAGGACAGAGATGAAACAGCGTCTCCTCTCGGCTGTGCTCAGGTCCCGAAGGCAGGCTGCACAAACACCAGATCAGTACAAAGCAGAGACATTTCTGAAAATACACTCTCGGGGCGCCTGGGTGGCTCAGTCAGTTAAGCGTCTGCCTTCGGCTCAGGTCATGATCCCAGGGTCCTGGGATCGAGCCCCGCATCGGGCGCCCTGCTCAGCGGGAAGTGTGGTTCTCCCTCTGCCTGAAGCTCCCCCTGCTTGTACTCTCGCTCGCTCTCTCTCGCCTATGCTCTCTCTAGCAAATAAATAAATAAAATCTTTAAAAAAAATACACTCTCAACTGCATTTTTACAGTTCACTTCTCTGCTGGAAAGGTCATTCACTGGAAGTTTACTAGGACCAAGAGCAAGAGAGGGATCAGAGCTGAAGAAGGGTTCCGTGGCACACGGCTGGTGCAGAACACAGCAAAAACACGGCGCCCCGGTAAGAAGACTCCTGCCGTGCCAGGCTGGAAACCTGGCCATCCAGATGGGGTCTGATGGTAACCCTGCAGCCATAGTGCGCCCTACGTGCTCATGCACGTGCAGGGACGAAACCAGACCAGATGGGAGTGGCGCAGTCCGCGTGGGATTGTCTGGAGTCCTGATCTGGCTCCAAACAGAAGGCTGGGAGAAGACACACAGAGGGCAGGGCTGGGTCGCGAAGGGCCAGCGGAGGCCGAAGCCCAGCGAGGTAGCTCGCGGGGAGACCTGCCTGGGACAGGGCCGTGACCTAGAACCAGCAACCCGGATGTCACAAGGCACCTTCCTGAGAGGTTTCTCCTCAAGAAAAGACCACTGCTTCGCCTGTTCCCCGAGACCCTCCTTACCCCTGCTCTTTGGAGCCTGGACACCCGGCCCCACGACGTTGGTGTTTGCAACCATCCTTTTTTAAGGGAGGACTATTTCTGAAAATACAAGGCAGATTCCCCCAACTGATTTCAACCACGAGTTGGGCAGTGATTTAAGACCTTCAAAGAAGATGTTAGTTTCCACCTGATTTTTAAAAATAAAAACACCCCCAGACCTCAGCTCTCAGGTGTCCGAATTCTCTGCCCTCATGAAATGATTATTCCAGTTCCTAGGCTATATTTACAGTATAATGATGTTATTTTCCTTTTTCCTCTAGCGCTGTGGGTTCTTTCTTGGCTCCAGCTATCCGGGTCTTGATTAGAAATCCATGCTAACCAACTTTCGGCTGGTTACTGGAAGCCCGTTGTGACTGACAAAACAAATGAAGTCTCTCTCTGTTTAGTCAGCGGAACCCGCATCCTACTTGAGCCAGCGAAGGCCTTGGGGGTTTGGGGAATTTGAAAAATTGAGGGGCTTAGCTTAGAGATACAATATCCAAATGGCTCCCAGTTGGAAGCAGGGAGAGCATTTGCATCCCATGTTTCTGGCACAGTCATGTCCTGAGTATTTTTTGAGGGCATTTTCCCTGCGCTGCTTTTCTCTTCCCACCTCAAGCAAAGCAATTACCACTTCACCTCATGGCCAGAGGCGCTGGCAATGTGAAGCAGAGCTATTACAACTTGGAAGGAAAGACACCAAGGGACAGTGGGTAAATCAGGAGGGTGGCGAAGTTCCCCACCAGGCAGCCTTCCACCCACCCTCCGCTTGGAGGCCACACCATAACGGAAACGGCCCCGGCTGGATCAGGACAGCAGACAGAGCGCGGCTGCTGTCGCCGTCCGCTCCTACCCCCACAGCCCCCAGAAATGATGGGAAACCCATTTTCAAAAAATCCTCAAGCACGTCAGGAAAGCAAGGAGCACTGTTTGTATACCAGAAACCATGAGCAATTGTAAAAAATGAAAGGCAGACTTTTATTCTTCTTGAAAAGGGAAACCACAACTCAGAATGCACAGGGAAGGAAGTTGCTAGAAAAGGAGGAAGGGGATTCAGAGGGGCCAAACCCAGGGGTGCCAGCCATGTGAACAGGAGGGGGCCAGATGCTTGGACCACATCTGCACAGAGAGGTGTTGTCAGCCAGGAGGACCGGAAGCCCAACAGTTGGGCTTGTGACCCAAAACCAAGAGTCACAAAACTCAACTCTAAAAAGAACTTACACAAGAGGAAACAAAGTTACTACAGCAGACAGAATAACGTTTTTAGAATATATATAATAAACAGCCTCAGATAGCCTCATCTTGTTAAAAAAAGAGATGATAGATTTCATCACCAAAATGAAAAAGTCAACATAGAAGCCACACACCACAATGGATATACCAGAGAAGGAATCTGTGAGCTGGAAAACTGAGCCAAAGAACCTTTCCAGAATGGCTATGTGAGCTCCTGTGCACTTGAAATGTTGGCTGGTTTGAATGTGAGATGTGCTGTAAGTGTAAAATATATACCAGATTTGAAGACTTAGTGAGGAAGACGAATGAGAAAGAGGAGGAGAAGGAGGAAGAAAAATTATCTTATACGTTTTTAAAAAAAAATACGAATTACATATTGAAATGATATTTTGGATACACTGGGTTAAACAAAATAAATTAGAGTGGACTTACTGTTTTTTTACTTTTTTTTTTTTTTTAAAGTAGGCTCCACACGCAGCATGGAGCCCAATGCAGGGCTTGAACTCATGACCTGAGATCAAGACCTGAGCTGAGATGAAGAGTCGGACACTTAACCAACTGAGCCACCCAGGCTCCCTCTTTTTACTTTTTTAATTTGACTACTAGAGAATGCAACTTCCTAGGTGGCTTGCGTTCCATGCCTACCGGATGGCACAGCAAAAGGATGGTGGGAGTATGCCAAGTGGGAGACAGATCTGAATGAGTCAGCATGTTTCTCCTTGCAGAAGGAGAGGAAGAAGGGAGGGAAAGAAACACTGATAGAGCAGAGGAAGAATGTCCAGGACTGAATAAATACACCCATGAGGCCTTCTGATTGCAAAGAGTGATGTTGAAAGGAAGTGTTCCCACAAAGGTGAGAACGAGACAAAGATGACTGATCATCACCATTTAACACTGTCCTGAGGTTCTCGTCAACACAAGAGCACAACAAAAAAGCAAAGAAAGAGACATTTTCTGCTTGCAGGTGAAATGACTGCCTATATGCTCTCCCCCGCCGCTCCCCTCTCAAAAGGCCTGGCGCCAGCAGGCCTTCTCCACGTTCCAAGCCGGGGCTACATTCTCCAGCCTCCAAGGCCTGGGTAAGAGTCGGACCTATCAGCACCTGCTCCTTCCCCGTAATGACCCACGAAGAGCTGACCTGCGCAGCAAGAGAACCGGGAATACACCGCTCACCGGGGCCGTGGGAAGGGTGCTTACCTACGGATGGCATTGGCGAACTCGGCAGCCAGCTCACTGTCGCTACACGTTGTCCTTAGTTCAGCCAGTGAGAGAGCCGGGGAGGCAGCATCAGCACATTCCTGAGGATGGCAGACACATTCCGGTTAGCCCTGGAGCCGAGCCCGACAGCAACCTGGAGGCGCAAGGCAGCTCTGCCCACTTCTCTGGACCTTTGTAACCTGGCTGGTGGGCCACGGGGGTTCCCGGCATGCTCTGAGCTCTCCACACACACGTTCTCCCACTGAGCCATCGTGGTGACCCTTTGAGGCACATACTGTCTTTATGCCCATTTACCAAGGACAAAACTAAGGTACAGAGAAGTTACGTTGCCGCCGTCAGCTCGGACAGGGTGGAGCCAGGATTCAAACCTGGGTCAGCTGGGACACATCTGCGCTCTTCACCGCTGGGTTAAGCCTCTTGTGATGCATAAAAGACAAGTGGGAAATGCACCTGAGTGTCCTCGCCCCTCTCCCAACACACTCCTTGGGAGAAAACCAACCTTCTCTAGATTTAGGAGCTTTAGTGGGTACAGTATAATCATCTAGAAAACCCAGGAAAAAAGGAAGACAGATGTGCACCCTCCGTGTGTGTGTGTGTGTGTGTGTGAGAGAGAGAGAGAGAGAGAGAGAGAGAGAGGGAGAGGGGGGTGGGTGCGGGTGGAGCCTGACGCAGGGCTTCCAGCAGGCCTCCATCTCACCACCCTGAGATCATGACCTGACCCCAAATCAAGAGTCAGACGCTTAATGGACTGAGCCACAGACGACCCCCCCCCTTTTTTTTAATTGAAGTATAGTTGACCATTAGTTTCGGTTCTGACCCTCAGACAGGAATTTTGACGTCATCTAAACCCAATCCTCTCCTTTTACAGATGAGGCAGCGTGAGGGCCCGAACTCCTAAGTCCTAAACTGAGCTCGGACCCTTGTACAGCAGCCCTCATGCCCCTCTGAGCAGATGGAGGGCAGAAGCTGTGCTGCGGAACCGGGGGGCCTGGGAGGCGCTCATCTGACCGCCTGCTCAGCAGACTCGTACTGAGGATCTACCACAACCCGCGCTTGAGACCGAAAAGCCCGCGGCCTGTCGCAGGGGACGGAATGTCAGCGGAAAGGTGTATCGCGATGGGATGTACGAAGTGAGTGCCCCAGTCCAGATAACAGGAGGGCACAGGGTCTCCGCCAGCCCCCTCCAGCGCAGGACCACACCCGGGGGGGCCCCTCTGCGGCAACCCCGCCAGCTTCCCGCCACCTCTCTCTGCCCGCAGACCCAGGCCCCCTCTGCCCGCCCCTGGGATCCGCTGAGACTCCACCGCGCTCTCTGTGTATCAGCTCCCACATGAGGACATTTCCTAGGAGTCCTTGAAGACAGGGCGGCTCTGTCTCGCCCGGTGCCTCTCCGAGAACACGTGCGCTCGTGTCTGTTGCATACAGACAGCAGCCGCAAACCCGAAGGCGGCCCGGATAACACCTGGGACGCAGCCCGCTGGCCGGAGGGAAGTCTTAGAGCGATCACGGCACGCACCCTGTGGAGCCAGAGTGGACGTGCCAGCTCCAAGCCTTGCCGGCCACCTGTTTCTGTAAGGCCTGCAGGCCAAGCACGGTCTTCTATTTTTAAACTCATGAAGAAAAGACTGTTTCGTGATGTGTACACATTATATGAAATGTCCGTGTCCGTGAAGGAAGTGTTATTAGAACACAGCCCACACCTCTTTGTGTCTACACTGTGTCTGCTTTCACGCTACAGTTCTAGAACGGCCTGGCTCTGTGCTCGCAGAGGCGTCTGTGACCTGAAGACCGTAAGATAATGACTTCCGGCTCCTTCAGTTTGGCAACCCCTCCTACGGACTGCCCGCCTCAGCTGCCGACCAACAAGCCTAAATGAGAGCCCAGAAGGGAGACTGCACTGAAAGAGTAAATGGGTCTGATATTTGAAAGACAAGATAATCAGCTACAATAATTTCATTACCTAAACAACACAAGGTACTCTTATAAAGCCTCTTACTTGAATGTAACAAAAAATTAAAAATAAAGCCTTCTGGCCTTTTCCCTTAGATTTCTGTACTTCGAAGCCATTCCACACAACATAGTGTCTCCCTCAGTCAAAATAAACACCAAGAACTGGGGAAGTGCTTGGCTCGCGGGCCTTCCGGCGAGAACCCGGTAGGTCTGTCTCCACCACACGCTAGGAGCGCACCGGCCAACGCCGCAGCCCTCTCAGCTCTGTCCCAGTGACTGGTAACAGACTCAAGCGGCTGTACAAAGATTTCTAAGGTGTTGGTGTGGAAGGGGAGACCCCATTTTCTTGAGCCCCAGATATTACCGCATGAAACTCTTTGTAGGCTGCTGTCCACCCAGACTCCACTCCACAGGCAGCAGGCAGATGGTTTCACGGGGCCTCTCCTAGGCCCAGACGGGTGCACGTCCCCCCCCCCCCCCCCCACCCCGCTGCCAAGCCTTCGTGATCGCTCACTGTCCCCAGGCCAGCACAGCCGCCTGATTATGGGGGACTGACTTCTCTGCCCGAACCCTCTTCATTGGGCTAGCTGCCACTCTCCACTGGCTCTCAGTTCAGGAAACCTGTCCCAAATCTCCACACCTGGGTTCTCTGTCGGGCCCGTGGCCTCCCATGGCACTAGGAATTGATCCTTGGTCTCAGGTCCCTGTGTTACAATCATCTGTTTGCCCATCAGTGTCTCTCTCTGGATAGAAACTCCTCGAACTGCCTCCAGCACCTCAGCTGGACCAGCCCACATCTATCTCGTGAATGGATGACGGGCAGGCAGCCAGGTCTTGGGAGAGATGGCCCAGCCAGGTCCCAGGGACGTGAACGCCCCTGCCGCCTTCGCTAGGTGACGGGTGGACAGAGTGCAGCTGTGGTCCCCTGCGAAGCACGCTCCAGTTCTTAGCGGTCTAGGGAGTGACCACTGACCGCCACACCAATCAGCAAGTTGCTTCCTTTCCAGGTGCAAAACTCCCCCAGGGACACCCCTGCATTTGGGCTGTGAGAAGCCACTCCTCAGACTGGGCAAGTCAGCGTATGCCCCCAGCTCCTGGGCTGGAAACAAACTGCAGCTCGGGGAAGCTAGCATTTATTAGGAACGGAAAGTACAACGCAGAACACAGAATTACAGTACCCTGGCATGAGGCATGTAATTCTTTAGGGTCTGGAGTATTTTTTTTCCCCAATGCAATATCTGGAATAATTCTGAGATACAGTATAATGGAATGAGCTTGGATTCTAGAGAAAAAGACTTCTGGGCTCATGGGAGTGTGAGTTTGCCAGATGACATCACCTGTCAGCCCACGCTCTGTGACACCCTGTGTGTGAGCCGGGGCCTGCCTTCCTCCTCCTCTGCCTCAGCGGCTTCCTGCTTCCCCCCTCACCGACGGCAGAAATGCCAACAGAAGCTGAGGTGGCAACCCGGCTGAGGGGAGGAGGGCCATTAGTCAAATTCGGGTTAAATCCTGATGCTGCATTTATTAGCCGCGAGACCCTCTCGCTTGTGAGCCTCGTTCCCCTCGTGTAAATGGGGGTACCTACTCCGTCCCCAGCGCTGAGATTCCTAGGAGGCCAACAAATGCAATGATCAGTGCAGATGTGACCAACAGGCCACAGGCGATGGTCACTGTGCCAGGCAGGGGAGCCAAGGAGGCGGCCCGGTGTCAGAGCCCTGGGTGACAGTGCCGATCCCTCCCCGATCAGACTGTGGCACAGGAAAATGCTCTAACTAGTACCTAAAGTGCGATTTTTTTAAAAAGTGGATTTGGTTTCTTTGCTCTCAAAATGTTACCTTCTTTAAGATCTCTGGAAAGGCTTGCAGTTCCCATGCAAATAAGGAAACTGAGGCTGTGGGGCAGGGAGGGGGTGGTGGAGACTGGGTGGGCGGTAAGGCTGGGGCTGGGGGGTGCCCGCAGCCCTGCTCCTACCTTGCCGGGCTTGTCCTTGCCGCCGCTGCTGGTGGAGCTCAGGGACCGCGTGCACTGCTCCTTCTGTTCCTCCACCTCGGACTTCAGGTGCTCGATGTGCACCAGGTAGGCCTGCTCCTGGGCCTCCCGCGTGCTCAGCTTCAGCTCCAGGGCCTTCTTCTCCTTCTCCAGGAGGTAGAGCTGGGCCTTCAGCTCGGCCATCTCCTCCTGCGGAGCACAGAGGGTGCGAGGGATCCACGCTGTGGGAGCAGGCCCGGGCGTGGGAAAGCAGGCCAGTGACGAGGGCGGTGGAGTTACCCCTTCGCAGCCTGGACAAGATGACCGGGAGGAGACAAGCCAGCTGTCTCCGCCATCTGAAGGACTGATGTGTGGACAAAGCCATGGGCTTTGTCACTCTATGGACCGGGACGGAGATAAATGAAGGGGAGTTACAGGCAAGCAGATTTTGGTTCACTGTAAGAAGAACCTTTCGAACAACTGGAACACACACACCCCCACCACTCCGGGCCCCCGCTCAATGGGCACACCTGTCTCTGTTGGAAACCAGGTTTCTGGCATGCGTCGGCCATGCTCCATCGGTCAAAGAGGTTGTGAAGGAGGGTCGTCCACACAAGGCTGGGTCTGACTAGCTCCCTTCCGATTCCCATTTCCTTCTCCATTTTCCATGGCCCCAACCCACATATTCAATCCTCCCTTGGCACCCCACAGCTGAAGCCTTCTCATCTTTTGCCATCAGAAGCAGGATTCTGAAGGTTCTGGCAACACTGCACACTGAGCTAATGGGGCCAGTCACAGCCAGAACAAACATAAACGTAAGCTTAAAAGAAGGAGAGATGAATCCATGGGTGCCAGAAATGAAAAGAACTCTGCCCAAGAAGAAAGGCAAGGTGGCCATGATACAGGCCAACAGAGGTTTCAGACCAAGATGGAGGCCCCAGGACCTGGGCTTCTGGCACCTGTGCTGAGGGCAAGGCAGAGAGCTGGAACAGAGACCCCCTACATGAGCCAGGACTCTCAAAGTACTGCCTAGAGGGGTGCCTGAGTGGCTCAGTGGTTAAGCGTCTGCCTTCGGCTCAGGTCATGACCCCAGGGTCCTGGGATCGAGTCCCACGTCGGGCTCCCCGCTCAGCGAGGAACCTGCTTCTCCCTCTGTCTCCTGGCTTGTGCTCTCACTCTCTCTGTCAAATAAATAAATAAAATATTAAAAAAAAAAAAGTACTGCCTAGAGTAAAAGACTAGAAGATTTCCTTTTTGGAGATGTGGTGAGGAAACTTATCCCTCAGGGTCTGGGTGGGAAAAGTGAAAAGAGCCTCTTTTGAGGAATCAGAGCCACATACTTGTCATATGTAGATGTGAAACAGGAATCCAAGCCAAGAATGTAAGAGAAACTAGCCCTAAACCTCTGAAGCCCACGGGTCCCAACAGATCCATGCACAGAACCACTCTGTAGGGACATCTACAACCCAGGACCCACAAGACTCCGTAGAATACACAATCCCCACCGAAGATGAGCTGGTATGCACACCCTCCCCTCAACCCACACAAAGAGAAAATGGAAAACAAATCATGTGAGACAGAATCAGCACTTACGAGAACCAGAGATAACAGGTGAAACACTAGAAAATAAATATTTAAAATGAAGAGAGGAAGAAGGGTCCTAATGGAAGGATAGGATATTCAAAAAAGAAGAGTGGCTTTAAAAAGGAACCAAGTAGATCATCTAGAAATGAAAAGGTGTTTACTAAAGATCATGTACAAGAAGGGAAAAACCCAGAAAACTTGAGTTTCTCAGCAACTGTATCCTAGAATGAAATGGTGAAATCCAATATAACCTGCTGCTTGTGGTTTTGGAATGGGCGCGCACATCCCCGTGAGCACACTGTGTAGGGAAGGGAGAGGACTCTGATGTTTTTGTGTTTTGTTTTTTTTTTTTAAAGATTTTATTTATTTATTGAATGAGAGAGAGAGAGCATGAGAGGGAGGAGGGTCAGAGGGAGAAGCAGACTCCCCGCCGAGCAGGGAGCCCGATGCAAGACTCGATCCTGGGACTCCAGGATTATGACCTGAGCCGAAGGCAGTCGCCTAACCAACTGAGCCACCCAGGCACCCAGGACTCTGATGTTTATGCTTCAGAAACCTCACAGGAAGGAACCGAAGCCAGAACACCAGCAATGGCTGCCTCTGGCTCATATTATGGGTTATTTCTCTCCCAGCTTTTTGTAATTTCTGTTCTTTTATTTTTTAAATTTTATTTATTTTGAGAGAGACAGAGAGAGAGAGGAGGAGGAGGAGGAGGGGAGAGGGAGAGAGAGAATCTTAAGCAGGCTCCACGCCCAGCACAGAGCCCGATGCAGGGCTTGATCTCACAACCCTGAGATGATCATGACCCGAGCCAAAATCAAAAGTTGGAAGCTTAACGGACTGACCCACCCGGATGCCCCATTTCTGCTCTTTTAGACAATTTCTGATATATACACATTTTATTTTCAATAGCAAAGGGAATATTTTATTACACCAAAAATGTCTTTCCTGGCCAGAGTAACCCAGAATTTATCACACAAGCTGGCTTGACTATAAAAAGGAAATCCTTAGTCTTTGGCCAAATGAAACATGATGATGGAACACATAACGAAAGGGCAGCCTCCCAGCTCATGCTGCAGGGCGCAAAGGCCCACAAACAGGTCTCCTGACTGGGGGAAAAAGGCACTGTGATGATGGACCCAATGCCTGGCTCATGGGCCATGAGAGGAGAAATCAGCCAAGGTTGCGTGAGGATTCCCCAGAGGGGACAGAAGTCAGGGTCAGAGCTGGGTGAGTGGGACACGATAAAACAGCTTGGAAGCAAAGGGCTGATTCCTAATCTGCTGTCACTGCCCAAAGTCTTCCCAGGATTCAGCCAGACTCAAGATTGAGCAGTCGCCAAGGACAGGGACACATTGACCAAGTGACCCGAGAGTGCTGGATTGACCATGATGGCGGCTCCTCTTTCCAGAGGTGAGTTAAGCAGAGGGGCGCCTGCTCTCTTGCAGGGACAGTGCTGGTTCCAACAGGAGACACCACTTATGAGCTATTGATTCAGCACTTCCTCGACCACCCGGCCCAACGGACCTGCCTCTGGTTCCTAAGCTGGCTTCTGTTCCTGAGAGCCTCTCCTGTCTCAACACCTGGGATCTAGAGACACTGCAGAATCCAAGGCTGTGCAAATCAGGCCTTTGTGCACAGGAGAGTGGAGTTTGGAGAGCAGGCTTGGGGACATGGCTCCCAGCTCCTACTCCCTACGTTAGGGGGCCCGGACCTGCAGGAGCAGGCCTTACAAGTGCCCACCTCTGCCCCAGGCCTGCTAAGAGCTGGTCGCAGCCCTGCAGGACCATGCCCCTGGCGATTGGTTACTCTGTTTCCACTCCAGCTGGGTGCACACAATCCAACATACTCTGGCCTGAACTTGCTGGGTTCTCGCAGACCCCACAGGTAAGGACAGTCCTCCAAGCCTGCCTTCACTTCCAACACCAGCCACGAACACTGGCGGGGGGGCGGTCCCCGGGCCACTTGCACTTCTCACTAACTCAGGGGCATGCACAACCCACTCGGATCAACGACTCCCTCAGCTCAGGAGTGCGCTGTACTTAGGATTAGGGTTTTACCACAGGGAGTGCACACGGGGGTCCCTGGAAGAGCGCTGCATGCAGATCTTTCCTGAGCCTTGGTGCCCAGGGAACTTACTGGGGTTTCATGACTGGGCATGGTGGAGAAAATCACTGGCCACACAGGGAACTCAATCTGTAGCCCTCCTCCCCTCCCTGGAAGTCAAGGGCCTCAAAGTCTGACCCTATAATCACAGGCTCCATTCTTCCAGGGACAGCCCCAGTGCTGGTTTCAGCCCCCCCCAACCAGGAGTGGCCTCATTAGCATAACAAAGCTCAGGAAATTCCAAGGGTCTGGGGAGCTCTCAGCGGGAGCTGGGAACCCAGAGCAGGTATTGCTGTCTTCTGAGAAAGCACTCCGCAGGGGAAGGCCCCGTGCTTGGCGCCCCTGGCCAGAGCCGTGCAAAGTGCGTCCTGCGGAAGGGACGTCAGTGTAACCACTCCCCGATGACGGGCACTACCTGTCCAAGAAAGCTCCCCCCTCCCCAAGTTTCCAGATGCCACCAGAGAATTCAGCCTGCCGGCCGGTGAGCACAAAACCTCACCAGAAAACACGGATGTGAAAGGGCACTGGCCAACTTCCCTGGAGGGTGTCAGGACCCCCACGGCAGGGAAAAGGGCGTCAGGACACCGGGGCTCCGGTCCCAGTGCTGCACCTGTCCGCGCCCCATCCTCCCCTACTCCCCATTAACATCAGCATCCACCCCAGAAGCACTTTAAGCTCCTAGAGAGGAGAGGTCCTTTTCCGGGGACAGGGGCTGCTCCCGCCTCTAGGGATCTGATCGGGCTTCTCGTGGAGAATGAGGTGTTCCAGAGTGGAGCTGAGACACCCCTCCGGGGTCATGCCCAGCCCCAGGGACCCCGGACACACTGAAACTAGTCCTGCCTACAAATGAGGCTCTGGCCGTCCTCCAGCAGGAGGTGACTGAACCCAGACGGGGTCGACTGGTCATCATCGCTGACCTGCTGTCAGAGGGCCTTCTCCCGTCTCCCGGTGAGGACACGGAAGCGCACGGGCCCCATCCCCACGCTACCTTCATGGCCATCAGCTCCTGCATCAGCACGGCGTTTTCCAGATCCAGCCGCTGGCTGTCCCCGCGGGGCTTCACGTCGTAGCTGAGCGGGTCGATGTGGATGCTCTCCAGCTCCAGCATGGTCAACTTGACTGCCGCCCTGTCATTCCGGAGCTGCTGGATGTAATCCTTCAGCCGCTGCTCGTCTTCTTTGGTGAACTCCGTGTCACAGCTGCTGGCTGTGGAGCTAGTTGTACTGAGGAGACAGAGAAACCCTCTCGCGGTCCCAGCCACCGTGAGCGGGTCCTGTCCCTGACTCCTTCCCACACCCCGTCTCTCCAACAGCGGCCCACGGGA